TATAAGTAGATCCTAACTTAAGAAGAAAATTACTCTAAAACTATGTTATTTTAATAAATTCTCATTAAAAAAATTAAAATATCTTATTTTTAAAGTATAAATTTAGACTATAGTAATGATTGGTATACTTTTTAATTCAATAAACTTGTCAATACCTATTAGTTTATTTATTAAAATTTACATTTGAAAATTTTTTTGTTTTGAATTCAAATTTAAAAATAATAATTTCTTAATGAATATATTGTAAAATGTATTGAACTAAAGAGTGTGCGAATTATTATCTTTTAAACTATTTTTGCTTCTTTTTTTGTGCTTCTATATTTTTTTTAAAGTTAATAATCTTTGTATTTAAAAAGTTATGATTAATCCCAACAATTAATAATGAGAAATGAATGGTTAGGATTTTATATGAAACTTATATATGAAACTTATGTGTAAAATTTGTATAAGATTATCTTTTTTGCTAATAACTTAAGTAATTCAATAATAATTTTTTTTGTTAAAAATAAGAAATTTTGAGTTTGAATCGCATAGTATGAAATGAAATCGGTTAAAGGATATGTGAATGTTATTTCTCATTATATAACTTAAGATAAAAAAAAAAAAAGAAAACAAGTTCATCATTTCTCTCTCTCTCTCTCTATATATATATATATATGGGATACATGTTTTACAAGGTTGAATTTCATATTTAAAGTGTAATTTAGATATTAAAATTATTAAATTGTCATTAATAAAATACAATAAGAAATTGTTGCTTTATTGGATTAAAGTGATTATCTGGCAATTAGAAGGGAGGTTTGCAGTTGTTTCCATCTGGTTTTCCTTTCTACTATAAAGAAAAAAAAAATTATCAATTAAGGAGAATCCAGCTTGAAATTTTGAAATTTCTTATCTGGAATGCTTTTCTTGCATGGAGGTCCATTTCAGACACCTCTCCTTTCTCACCATATTCGAAAGGATCAAAGACGTTACTATTATTAGGGTTTTAATTATTTGTGTTTTTAAGGTATAGTTTATTTACGTAATAATAACTTTAAAATTAAATTTCATTGTTATATTTTTTATATAAATTTATAATAAAAAATATTTTTAATATGTGTTTTAAAAATATAAATTAAAATGTTATTGTTATTATTATTATCCATTCTTCCACGGCTGACGCAGACCATGACCGGGGATTTTTTTAGGCAAAACCATAAGTTAAGCACTTGAATTAATCTCAGAATCGCTATTAAGCTCCTAGATTTTAATTGATGCAGTTAAGCTCTTGAATTCTGGGATCAAAGTAATTAAGCCCTTTTTCTTATGCTATTAAGCCCCTAAACGTTAATTTTTAAAATAAATTGCTTAAAAAGAAGGGCTTAATTGCTTTGATCGGTTGATCCCAGAGTTCAAGGGCTTAACTGCATCAATTAAAGTCTAGGGGTTTAATAGCGATTCTTGGGTTAGTTCAGGGGCTTAACTTATGGTTTTTCCATTTTTTTACCATGACAGTTATAATTAACTCCTTTAAGTGCGCGGTGGCTCCACAAGAATCAATGAATCATTTATATCTCTTGAATATTAACGGTAAAATTAATTGACTTATTTACTTTTTTTCCTGAGGAAAATCATATTTTTATAATAGAAATGTTTTTTTTAATAATTCTTTGGATATTATCGTGCAAATGGTGTTTATTGGAAGAGGGAAAAAGACTTTGTCCATGCTAAAGCGTGTGGAATGGTAGAAACTAGGGATAAAAGACTTTGGTGCTTTATTTGCAAATTAGGTGACCTTTACAGCTTTACTATATATTTTTAGTGCGGGCTTTTTGTTTAGGTTATCAAAAAATTTGTTTAGTTTAACTCATATTTTATTGATTTGTAATTTTTTTAAATAATTATAGTAATTATAATATTTAAAAATATTAATTTATAAATTAATTTTAATTTATTAAATAATAAATATTTATTATTTATTATTTTTAATAATTAAAATAAATTAAATTTATAT